AACTCATCAGTTTGAGATGTCACAAACATGGTCAAGCAAAAGAAATAATTATAGAAATATATTTAAATACAGTGCCTGTTTGTTCACAGCAAAAAAATCATGGAGCATAAAAATTCATAACCGCAAATATAACTATTTTCTCTCAAATATAAATTTTATTAAAAAAAATTGATATGTTAAATAATTAATGTTTTAATTAAAAATTTTGAACTGCAAAAAAAATGGAACTTTTAGTTATAAAAAAGTTAAATTAAAAAAAAATTGTATATTTTATTAGTAATATTTTAAAAATTTTATTGTTAATAGATGAGAACTTTATTAATTCTTATTAATCATTAACAACTATTATTATTTTATTATTGAAGGCATTGTTATATGTAAAGAAATATATGTCATTGAAAAAATTATTTAAAACAAAAGATTTATTATTTTGATTATCATATTTAAGGATTGTTATTAATTAGTTTTTCGTTATTAAAATTTAAATTCTATTCTTTATTCTATTATTCATGTTATTCATACGAAAATACCTGTGGATACATTATTCTAATTTTTATACTTTTATAATTTATTATGAAATTTATTAGATTTAAGATTTCTGAGAGGATATGTTTCCTAAAACGAAAGAAAGTTGTGGACAATTGTGAAACAAAGATTATAAACAAAAAGATATGCACTTAACATTATTTGTGATATTGTGAGATTAAGAATGAAGCTTCAAATAAAACACAATATTGATAAATTCACACAATTATATTGTCACTCACAATTTGTTTTACTTATCTTAATGTGAAATTGAGAGCAAAAGTTTGCAATACACAGATTTTTGTGTTTTCTAATATTGAATTATCATCAGAAATACTTTTGGAATTATAAGATTGCTTATTATTATATGTGTATTTTAATTTTTCATTCACGTATGCTTGTGTATAAAAAATTAAATGATTTTTAAGGTGAGTATAAAGTAAACATCACTTAATACACGGTGTTCTTTATTCTTTGTATCTATTCAGTCCTGCAACTCTCCACATGTCTTTTATATACAGGATGTTTCGGGAAAAAGAAGTACGAATGAGTAAAATAAAATTACATTTTTTAAAAGACCAATTAAAAAACAAATTTAAATTTCTACTAAGATAAAATTTTTCCGAGAAACTGACAAATCGTATGTAACCGTTTAGATGAAAAATGAAGAGACAAATTTATATTTAAAAACAATCTTTGTCTTTAAATATTCTTGTTAAATACATCATATTAACATTTCATATCTTAATAAATATATCAATTAATTGGGGTTTAGTACAATATCAATTTATATTTCATGTTGTTGAATTTTATATTAATTAATATTTATCAATAGCTATGCATTTTTTATATCGAAATATATAATTTCAGAATAGGAATTCGAAAATTTTTAAAGCAATGTTTTTTGTAAATTAATTCAGGGATTCTTAGAGAATTTTTAGTTATTGAACTTAATTTCATTAAATCATGTGTTAAAAAAAAAAAATAAATAAATAAATAAAAAAAAAAAGAACACATATATGATATAAAAATCCAAAATATAGAATATTGAGAACAATATATTGAATATTTACACCAGATTAAATTTTTCCTAACAATAAATCTTAATTTACTACGATTTCCTGTTCATCGAATTATTTTTGAAAATAATAATTATATCGTAACAACTATCACTGCAAAATAATAAAAAAACATCTTTGTTCACGAAATATTCTTTTTTACAAAACATCCAGTATAATAAAATCATATAATGTAAAAGTATAGTGTGCCAGCTCGCACAATCAATAATAAATATTAATTAATATTTATAATTGTGTGTTATGTACACATATATAAATTAACATTTACATTTTTGCCATCATAGAAGTATCAATCTTGTAACATTTGATAACTTACTCACGATAAGTACTTCAATATCATCTAAAAATAATAAAATCAAGTAAAAACATTCATTTCAGTTCACTGTATTACGAAATTTAACTTCCAAAAAAATATCAATTTCAATGTAATTAAAAAATATTGGACGAGATTTGAATTGATTCCTCTGTTATCAATTTTATATTATTTTATCTTAATGAGAATATATAAACTAGAGCTAATAGTAAAATTAAAATTGAAATAAATTTTTTCGTTATCGCTCATTTCTCGTTATCATTATCACGTTGGAAATAGCAGTACTTATTGTGTGCAAATTAACATTGCTGTTTTTCGAATATTTATCGATAAATATTGCGTCTAACTATATATGTGTATAATACATGTAAATACACAATGTACATAGCTCGCAAGCTCGCAAAGTTCGCAAAAGTTATCTACAGGAATGAATTGTAGTAACCGGAATATAACGGTATATTGCAGCGGCCATAAAATTGACATACGAAGTACTTTAACAAAGTCAAAATAAAAATCGAGTACCATGTAATTTACAATGCATTACACAATATTGCAAAATTATGTAAAACTCTGATCCATTGGATCGTTATTTTTTTCCTTTAAGTAATAAAGTCTAAACGCACAAACACATATATGTATATATATGTATATGTATATAAGACTGATATGTATCTCTCTTAAGAGAATAATAAATGTTAAAGAAACATAAATTATAGGAGAGAAATATTTCTCAGAAATTATTAAATATATTTTTATTATGATTTTATTAAAATTCCAAAATATGAAGGTTACATTTCTGAATTTTATAAAAATAAAAACTTAAGAGAAATGTATCATAGAAATTATAAAAAATTTTTATGTCAAAAAACGCTTTGTATTCCAATAAATCAAGTTATTTTACATAATTTTGAGGAGTACTAATAATAATTTACAAAATATTGTATTCAAAATGAGCTTACAATCATATACATATCACAGTGTCAACATATAACTCGATCTTTCATCCTCGCTATTAAAACGGAATCCATTAGGTCGGTATTATATCACTTTTGTATATGTAATAGAATATATTTCTGCTCTAATCAAGTCAGAATTTAATACCAATCCACAAAAATGTTATAAACGTAAAAGTAAAAAAATTATTTTTATATCAATGTTTTCACTTTTAAGATAATTTGATATAAATATCTAATGAAGTCTCTTCTTTCAATTATAATAACCATAAACTTTAATCATTATGATTATTATTTCACGGTTTTAAATTATTTACTATTTATAAATTACAATAGAAATTATACATCTTTTTATATTACATATATATAAATATATAATATAAAAATTTTACATATAATTCTACAGTGCATAATTGTTATAATTTATATAAGAATTTTTATTCTGCATTGATTTAAATGTCTCCATTAATAAGACATACCATTAAAGTAAATAATAATCGAGAATGGCCTTTTTTTTATCATTGTCGCTGGTCATTGTTGCTATCATTTAGTTTTGCTTGTATTTATAAAAAAAGAACAAAAAAAAAGGAAACCATTACAAGTGCACGTAATACTTTATTTTACACGCGGAACATATTTTGTACTTTATTTACTCGCCGTAATCAAACATCGTTATAATACACACGATAACAATTGCTGGAAAGATAATAATTATAATATTAAAAAATTCGCAGTTATTTTTATGTATAATTTATTAATACAAAAATATTAAAAACACATTCAAATCTTAATAAATTATAAAAATAACTGCAAAGAAACGCACAATTAATCGAAGAAACTTCTCGAGTTTGCGATAATAATAAATAAACGCCATTTCTTCTTTTTCTTCTTGAGAAAAGACGAATGAACGTATTTCATAAAACGATCATCGCCATGTCAATTATTTATTATATATGAAAAAGGACAGAGAGAGAGAGAGAGAGAGAGAGAGAGAGAGAGAGAAGAAGAGGAGGA